GAGCGGAAACCAACTGAGAAAGAAGAGGATTACCCAGATGTTTTAGTCTGTAGCTACAGTATGCAACAGTGATCTGGTGGGGGTAATGGAGCTTCGACTTCCGCGTCGTGACAAAGCAGCGATGGTCGCGGGAGCGGTGGTTGCTGTTGCAGGTCTCGCAGAGGTGACACGAGAGGTTGACCAGGAGCGGGTCTTTGAATTTCTTGAGCCACAGCACAGCAGGCACACTACTGAATTCCTTGTCACCAGATTCAGCCACAAAAATGCCAGCACACTGCGGTAGGTGGGTGTTGTCATAGGGATCCTTGATCTTATGAAAGTGCTCGATATCCTTCAGCCAGCAAAGTGCCGGGTTCGTCGAGTTGGAAGTCAGGATTTTGCGAACGGCTGCGGCAGAGAGGCTGGGCGGAATGTTACGCACGACGATGGTGGTGTCCCCATTAGACTTGGCAGTAACATACTCCGGAGATTGTTCCTTGAAGACTTTGATGACCACAATCTTCCCGTCAGGAGCACGGTAGGAGTAGGGGAACAGCATAGCGGAAGCCGATGCATCATCTGCCGAAGGCCAGGTAAAGACGTGCCTCAGGTAGGAACAGATCGGCAGGCGAAGGAGATCACCAGCCGAGGACTCATACTCGCGTGTAGTGCCGTTCGCGAAAAGATGACCAATCCCTTTCGCGGAAACCGCGATGCGATCGACGATGAGGGGACGTAGAGCGGCAAAGGATTCCTGGAAGAAGATGACAACGATCGTGGCAGGGTCCACTTCCACCTCAACAATTTCAACACCAATGATCCCGCGATTACAATGTAGGTAGCCGTAGCGATCAGAGGAGTGCAAAGCCGAGAGAGTCGCGACCGCAGGCGGCTCAACGACCATGGCACGAGTGGAGGCACTAGCCGACGCATGGTTGGCAGAGGAAGAACCTTCGCCAAAGGGCCTCTTGGGAGGGCGACCACCAGCAGGTTGCTCGGCAGCAGCGCTATCACCGTTGGCAAAAAGAGAGGCCACAAAGGAGGTGGGGGGTAGCCCAGCCTCTTCCATGGAATCGTCAACGTTGTGAGTGAGAGCCATGATGAGAGAGTGGTGAGAGGGATGGAAAAGGCCAGATGCTTTATAAAAAAACAGAGGCTCTGGCAAGGGAGAACGCAATCCGAAATGAAAAGAAAGGTGCGCCTCGTTGCGAAGACGAGACGCCCGGGAATTATGGATCCTGCTGTGGCATTGGCAATGGCCGCCGCACACAAGTAATATAAGGCTCAAACAAGGTAAGCAAGGGAGAAGGGTAGCCAATGCATGAAGCGTTGTCAACCAATTCCGAGAAAGTTGTGAAAGAGCTGACGTAGAGCAGGAGAACAGAGGGCCTTGGAGATATATCCACCAAGTGACGATTCGATAAGCCGGACATTGAAAGAACCTGAAATATGGGTTAAGTAGAAAAAAACTGCACCAAATCACAAGGACGACAGCTAGCGTGAAGTGAGAGGAGGAGAAACACAAAGCCGGGTTACCAGCTAAAAAAAAAAAAAAGTAGCCTGCAAACATCGAACCACAGTGTCACAGGTCCAGGATTTAGCGGAAGCTTGAATGATACTAGTCAAGAATTGAATCAAGAATTGAATGTCTACAAGCAAAGAGTCAATGCTATTTATACCTACGAGAACTCTATGGAAGGGTAACTAGGACCTTCTAAGAGAGTTCTAGAGATGAGGAGAACCGCCCGTAGGAACACCACCTAGAAGCACGGTAGGGATTCTAGAGATACGGTGATGGTGACGGAACACTCCACGCAAAATGCACAAAATAACACACAATAAATAGCAAATGGCAAATGGTTGTGATCAAGGATTCGGCAAGCCTCATCCTTTCATACTTCCCCCCCCTCAAAAGTCATCACGAGCGCGCCAACTCCTGCTGGTACAATTTGTGAGTGAGACAGACTTCTCCGAGTGCTGCCGCCCTTTCTTCAGGAATCATGGCGTTAGACGATGACGAATCCACAATTTTGTGGAAAGTTTTGGGCGGCTTTCTGTTGAAAGAGCTAAGAAGTTAGCTATGCATGGGAATGACGAGAGGTTTTAGCTAGGGAGAGAAAAGAGAATTGGGCTAGAAGAGAGAGGGATACAAGAAGGGTGTTGTACCCTCTACAATAGGATCCATTGTAGGACACCTAACACCTACCAAGCCTACACATATATATATATATATAATATAATATATAATTTGACACTTTCGGCACGCTGGCACTGCGAACACAGTCGTGCCTATAGGTAATTATCAATTAATATTACGAATAATGGATATGCAGTAAGCATACGTCATCAGCCTCCCTAAGTGTCGGTATAGCAGCGGAACTAGAGCGGAAGGCTGAGGATCGTTGGCTCTGATGGTCAAGTGTAATGGAGCGCAAAGAGGGTGTGTCGAATAGTTGAATAGCGAGGAAACAATACAATGAGGCAACTGTCAACATATATTTGTATATGTTATAGGCTAGATAGGTGCATGCTCATAGAGGGTACAGCACCATAGCACAAAACCTCCCAGTATGGCACAATCTAGTTCATTGCGTTATTCTAATATGGTATCACGCTAGGTCAGGTCCCCCTCCCCGCCTACGCTTCCGCCCCTAGCCTTAGCCCTAGCCTTAGACCGCGCCCTAGCCCGCGCCGTGTCACGCCGCGCCAGCCCTGTCCCGCCACGCCGGCCCTGCTAGACCGCGCCGGCCCAGTCATGCTGCGCCGGCCTTGTCCCACTGCGTCGTGCCCGCTAGACCGAGCCGGCCCCATCAAGCTGCGCCGGCCCCATCACGCCGCGCCGGCCCTGTCACGTCGCACCGGCCCCGCTAGACCGCGCCAGCCCCGTTACGCCGCGCCGACACCGTCTCGCCGCGCCGGCCCCGTCACGCCGCACCGGCCCCGTCACGCTGTGCCGGCCCCGTCACGCTGCGCCGGCCCCGTCACTCCGCGCCAGCCAGGTCACGTCGCGCTGGCCCCGCTAGACCGTGCCGGCCCCGCCGCACCGCGCTGGACCCGTCACGCCGCACCGGCCCTCTCACGCCGCACCGACCGTCACGCCGCGCCGGCCTCGTCACTCCTCGCCGGCCCCGTCACGCTGCGCCAGCCCTGCCAAACCGTGCCGCGCCGAGCTGCCGAGCCGCTGTGCCACACCGCCGAGCCGCCGAGCCACTGAGCCGCACCGCGCCGCCGAGCCACCGAGCCGCTGAGTAGCCGAGCCGTCGTGCCGCTGAGCAGCTGAGTAGCTGAGCCGCCGCGTCGCAGAGTTGCTGAGTCGCCGAGCCGTCGTGCTGCTGTGCCGGCCCGACCTGCCGGCCTTGGTTCCCCCTTCTGTGCCGGCGCTCCCGCCGGCCTTCTCCACCGCTGCTCTCCACCGCCGTCTCCTCCTCCTCCCCTAGCTGCTGCAGCCATGGCGATGGCGAACGATGTGCTCCGCCTGGACGGGGTGGGTCGGGCGATCGACTTTGAGGCGTGGCTCGCCCACCTCCGCCGCTCGCTGAAGGGACAGCGCCAGGATGGCCAGTCTCTGGCCGTTCACGTTGACAGTAAGATCCCCTGCCCCGACCCGCGTGCTGCCCCCTCTAACGCCCCCACGCCCGCTGAGCGTGAGGCCTTTGCAGTTGCTGAGCTCGCTCGCTCCGTCTTGGAGTTGCGTGGCGTAGTTGCGCAGCTTGCTATCAGTCGTGCCCTCCCCCTGTCTGAGCGCCCCCGCTACCAGACACTAGAGACTGCGCAAGCGTACTTAGATGCTGTTATTGCACACTATTTTACTCCCTCCTCCGCCTCAGCCGATCGTCTCCTCCTCCCCCTGCTCTTCCGTGACCTTGCAACTTTTCCCACTGTTGCTGATCTCGCCACTCACGTGCACTAGAGACTAGCTACCTCGCTGCTAGCACTGAAGCTCAGCTCCTTGTACTGCCTCCCCCCCTCGGCGCTAACCTCTACTTCCTTGCCACACGCCATCCTAACCGCCTGGCCATTGCCCGCGACCACTTCCTTGCCCTCAACCCTGACCTCACCGTCATTGACTTTGTCACTACCCTGACCGCGACAGAGACCCGCCAGCACGCTATTGCTCAGACGAGCGTTACTGCGGCGGTCCCTATCTTCCAGGGCTGTGCTCCCTTCTAGTGCACTTACTCTGATGTCTTTGCCGCTGTTCCTAAGACGGCCCCTGCTGCTGAGACTGCTGCGGCGGCCTCAGCGCAGTCTCGTTAGGGTAGGGGACGCCGGGCCCGGGGGGGAGCGTGGCGGCGGTAGGGTTGGCAAGGGTGGCGACGGTGGCGGAGGTGGCGTAGGTGCTGGAGGGGACGGTGTTGCAGACAAGGGGTCCTGGGCTGGTGCCCTGGAGCAGCACCCTCAGCAGCAGCAGCCTCAGAAGCAGCAGCAGCCGTCGCAGCAGTAGCAGTTGCTGTGAAGACCCCCGCCGCCGTGGTGGACTGGCGGTGCTGGTGGTGGTGGGGGATGCAGCTCGGTGTCGGGTGGCGGCTCCAGTGTGGTCACCTACCAGTACCAGCTTCAGTCCGGTCCCCGCCGCGGCACCGTCTGTGACCGCCTCGGTCACACCGCCGCGGGCTGCTACTGCCGCCTCGACGAACACTTCCGTCTCTGCTTCGGCCATACAGCGGACTCCCCCGACTGGTACAGCCTCGTGCGTCGTTGTGTGCTTGTCTTTGAGATGGACATGGATAAGATTAGGTTTGCTTTGTATGCCATGTATGCTGATGACTCTAGTGTGACTGGACCCTATTACCCGGTGTTGCCTAGCATAGGCGTGTCTCCTGTATGTAGTCTAGGTTCTTCTGCTATTTCAGGCGTAGGACCTGTCGCACACAGCTCTCTCTTCGGGTATCCTGCCACCCAACTAGCCGGGCTCTCCTGGTGGCTGCCTCCGCTTGTATGTTATGAAAGCCCGAGGCGAAATCTCTCAGCCAAAGATTTGCTCGCTACCCCTCAGTTTGGTCTCCCTTCATGGATCTGGTTTAGCTCAGAAAAATGTATTCACTAGCAAGAGCCATACAACCTTCCCAATGTTACGAGAGAACAAACAGAGTAGCTGACATACGACGAACAAGCTCCTTTACGCTACTCCTAGCCGAAGGCACTCCGTCACCCAGGTCCCTCACTCCCTCGAGGTTAGCCTTTTTACCTGCACTAATGATTACGCCTCCTCGCTGTCCCCCTGAATCCGGCCCCTTACCTCCCTCACTCTTCTGCATGTCGACCTAACCAGCCGCTCCTGTCCCCACTGAGCTGGACACTGTCTCCCATTCGCCACCTCCAGCTGTCTCGCCCGCTCAATCCCATGAGCTTTTCGACCCATCACTGTACTTCCCCACATTACCCCGCATAACAATCCTCTTTACGTATTTTCCTTACACTTTCTACACCTCTTCCCTTCCGCGCTGTCCCATATATCTCATGACACTTTTCCGTTCATGCGATTTATGCGACAGCTGTCGCACACAGCTCTCTCTTCGGGTATCCTGCCACCCAACTAGCCGGGCTCTCCTGGTGGCTGCCTCCGCTTGTATGTTATGAGGCTCTTTGCCCCACTCTCCTGCCCCCTCGCGGCCCGACCCACGTCCTCGTGATCAGGCCGTGACCTCCCAGCGCGCGCCACATTAGACACGTGGTCCCGAACCAGCTGCCCCTGCATATTCTGCAGCAATAGGACCCCTGACTCCCTTGTCTCACGTACGATCCACCGCTCCTTACTCAAACCTCTGTCTAGCGTGTCCTTCTTCCGCTCTCTCAGGTACACCTCGTCGCCAATCTGTAGTGCCAACGCCTGACCCCCATTGCCCTCCCCTTGCTTGCGCTGCCTGTACCTCCTTGCGTCTCGCAACTGTGCCACCTCCAAATTATCTAAGGCTGCCGGCATGGCAGTGCGGAGATAACTAGCCCTGGCTGCTGCGATCACGGCCCAAGTCCGCGGGTCCGCAATCGACACCGCTTCCTTCATGATACGAGGAGCATCCACGGGCAGCACGGGCTCCTTCCCATAGAGCAGGAAGTACGGGGAGTAATCCTTCAGCGCTTGCTGCTTACTAAAGCGATATCCCGCCGCTAACCAAGGGAGATGAGTGTCCCACTCCCGCCTATCCTCTTCTTCGCAGTACTTGCGCAGCCCCTGCTTTAACGTCTGGATCATCCGCTCCGTCAAACCGTCTGCTTGCGGATGATACCGCGACGTCCGTCGATGCCTGATACCCACCTCACTTAACATGGTGTCGAACTCACCCGCAAACTCATTCCCCTGGTCGGTAAGCACTTCCCCACACGCTCCAAATCGCGTCAGCACCTGCTGGACAAAAGCCTCCGACACTCCCGCCGCGCTCTTGCGCGGGAGGGCCGCGACTTCAATCCACTTGCTAGTGTGCTCTATCATCACTAGGATATACTGCTGCCCTCTCCTGGATAGTGGTAGTTCTCCTGCCATATCCAGGGACCAGCGGTACCCGATCTGTCCAATGGGCAGAGACTGCAATTCTGCCTTCGACTGCTCCAGCCGTGCCTTGCCTCGGCTGCATGCCTCGCATACCCCTACCACCCCTTTCACTTCCTTTCGCATCCCATCCCACCAGTACATCGTCTGTAGCAACTGAGTCGTCCGCTCGGCTCCATAGTGCCCCAGCTTAGTGTGCACCTTCAGGATCAGCCCCTCTCGCTCCTCCGGCTTGGGGACTATTCTCCAGCCATCCCCCGTCACTAACTGCAGTTGTTCATCCTGCCAACGGTAGTGAATCCCCCGGGCCCTCACCCTCTCTGGCACCTCTCCACCCTCGGGTCCCTTACCTTGAACCCACTGCAGCACCGCAGCATCGTCCCAAATCTCCCGACAGCCTTTCGCCGCCTCGGACCTCCGAGTCCACCCCTCCTTCTCGGCGGACACCGCCATGAAGGAAAGCACAGTCTCCGCTCCCACCTCTGGTTCCCCAGCTATTGCTGGCCCCTGCCTGGAGAGCCCGTCCACATGCTGCAGGGTTTTCCCGGGCCGATGCTTCACGTCAAACTCGAATTCCTGCAGCCGCATGGCCCACCTGGCATTCCGCCCTTTCAGAGTCTGATTAGTCATCAGCCACAGGAGAGGTTGATGATCGGTGACTAGGGTAAATTTCCTGCCTTGCAAGTAAGGCCGGAAGAGTTCCACCGCCCAGACTGCGGCTAACCCTTCCCCCTCATAGGAACTGTAGTTGCTTTCGGCTGGGCTGCATGACCGACTGGCATATGCTACTACCCTCTCCGTCCCCCCATCCAGCTGGCACAGTACTGCCCCCATGCCACTGCTGCTCCAGTCAGTATACAACGTGTAGGGCTTATCCGGGCTGGCAGTTTCAGGACAGGCGCGGTCTTCACTGCTTCCTTCAAGGTCTTCCACGCCAGATCCTGTTCTGCCTCCCACTTCCAGGTCATGTCCTCTCTCAGGAGCAGATTCAAGGGCCTTGCCGTCTTGCTGAAGTTCGGCACGAACTTGCGGTAGTAGCTCAGAAAGCCCAGCTGAGCGCGGAGGGTGCTCCGATCTGTTGGCGCTTTGAGTCTATCGACCACCTCCACTTTGGCCTGCTGCACCGAGAGGCCTCCTTTCCCCACCTGAAACCCCAGGTACGCCACTGTCCTCACCCCGAAATGACACTTTCCTGGATGGCACTTCAGTCCGGCCGCTTGTATTGCTGCTAGGGCGTCGGCTACATCTGCCACGTGCTGCAACCCGTTTTCGCTGAAGATTACCACGTCGTCTATGTAACAGAGTGCACGCGGTACCTCCCTCAGCACTTGATCCATCACTCGCTGGAACCTCGCTGAAGCGTTCTTCAACCCGAATGGCATATAATTCCATTCGTACAGTCTGTCTGGCCCATGAAACGCCGTCTTAGCCTTATCCTCCTCCTTGATTGGTATCTGATTGAATCCTTGACGGAGGTCCAAGGTTGAGTAGACCTGTCCTGCAGCCAGCTTGTCGAAGATCTCCTCGGCCATGGGCATTGGGTACCGGTCGCTCTTGGTGATCCGGTTAAGACCTCGGTAATCCCCACACATTCGTCGGGCTAACGTTTCACCGGTTAGATCCTTCCTTGCGGCTACCACTGTCGCTGCTGCATATTCTGATGTGGACTCCCTGATCAACCCCGCCTCCAACAGCTCTGCGCATTTTGCAACAGCAATGTCTCTGTCCCCTGGACTCATACGTCTTCTCCGCTGATACACTGGTTCGTTGCTTTGCAGCTCTATCTCCATCTCAGCTATGGTGCACTTGCCTAACTCCTTCAGAGAGTAAGCGAAGGCTCCCCTTGCCCCTTCCAGTACACGCCGCAACTCTCCCTTCTGCTCCTCCTCTAGCCCGTCTCCCATCTCCCAGGCCGGTGGACTGTCGACTTGCGGTGGCCCCTTTTCTTCTTCTACTGGCTTGCTTTCCCCTTCTTCCTTTATCTCCTCCACGGCTTCTGCTTCTTGCATAGCTTTGGCCAGGAGCGCTATCCCCCGAATATTCAGCTGGTTCTCTCCTCGCTCTACCTCAGCCCAAGCCTCCGCCTTCATGCGTTGCCAGGCCTCTGCCATGTCGAGCGCCTGCGCTGGGTCGCTCTCCAGCATCGTTTGCAGGTCCTTCCACCGCCAGTGCATTAGCAGCTGCATTCTCATCACCTCCTGACGTTTCTCCGCCCGGTACAGCAACCAGACTAGCGCGTGCTGGTCGATGGCTCCCCTAGCGCTGCCCTCCTCGCTTCTTCTGAAATCCCCTCCGCCGCCGTCGCGTTTCTCATGTATCCTAGCGCCCTCTCCCTTTCCACCGCCATAGGCTCCTCCCATTGCCCCGTAGCGAGTACTTGCACCATCCCGGGTCCCGGCTCACTGCCTTGCATGCGAAAGGCGTAACTGCCAGGTGTTGCCACCAAAGTCGGCCAGGCTTGCCTCGGCTCTCCCACTTGGTTGCAGGGAAACTGTGTCTTGACCTCTGGGGTCGTTACCGGTGCCGGCCTCCTGCCCGGCTCTAGAATATCCTGGACCTGCCGCGGCACGGGCCGCTGCATCCTACTCAGTTGATCTCTGAGCACTGGCTCCGGGACCAAGTTCTGCCAGTAGCGTCTCACTCTGTGAGTCCGGGACCCCATTTGTGCTGCATCCCAGGCTACCCCGTGTCCCAACTCTGCCGTCACAGCTTGATGAGCCTCTCTCACCAATGCACGCTCATCGTCCGCCACATCCAAATTCTCCACTATGTAGGATAGCGGTCCTTGTTTCCTCTTTATCAGCTTCATCACTCGGATAAGATCCCGGAGGAGGCCGGTGCGCGGGTCCGATAGCCCCCTGCCCTTGCCCGCCCTGGACAGCCCCTGACATTCCCATCCGGCCACTAGCAGGTCAATCTGCCCCCAGCTCTCCACCGTCTCCTGAGTAACAGCGCCGATATCGTTCATCGCACTTGCCTCCCTCTCAGCCCTCTCGACCACTTCCAAGGGCAGCCTC